ATGCCAAAAGGATCCTTGGACAGGTGGATCTATGGTCGACATGAAAATAGTGCTCCTCCGTTAGAATGGAGGGTGCGGTGCAAGATTATCGCTGACATAGCTAAGGGTCTGTCTTATCTTCACGAGGATTGCATGAAGAGAATTGCCCATTTGGATGTCAAACCACAAAACATCCTCTTAGATGACGACTTCAATGCTAAACTTTCTGATTTTGGTCTATGCAAGCTCATTGATAGGGATATGAGTCAAGTGGTTACAAGAATGAGAGGCACACCTGGTTATCTAGCCCCTGAATGGTTGACATCACAAATCACGGAGAAGGCCGATGTCTATAGCTTTGGCGTTGTGGTGATGGAAATCGTGAGCGGAAGAAAGAACCTCGACACTTCCCTGTCTGAAGAGAACATCCATCTTATTACCCTATTGGAAGAAAAGGTGAAGAAAAATCACTTGGAAGATTTGATTGACAAGAGCAGCAACGACATGCAAGCGCACGAGCGAGATGCGATTCAGATGATGAAGCTCGCGATGTGGTGTTTGCAGATTGACTGCAAAGGAAGGCCTAAAATGTCCGAGGTGGTCAAAGTCTTGGAAGGTACCATGGATGCAGAGAGCAACATAGATCATAACTTTGTCGCAACAAATGAACCAAATTTCGGTATTGCTGGAAATGTGAACTCTTCAGCTCCACCTGTAGCCTCAGATGTATCAGCTCCAAGGTGAAATGCGACAATCCCAGCAAGACAGACAGTACGATTATGAGCAGATGATGTTCTGAAAGTAAAAGACCTGTCTGCTACCTGTATCTTTTCCAAGCAGTACAATCTGAAGCTGCTTATCTTGAGTTAATTTTACCTGCAAAATGTTTTAATATTAAAAACCTTCTTGTTCTACAGCAAAGAACTTATTTTATTCTACAGTTTGTTCAGTTTCTCGCTGTAATGCAGACCTGTTTCCAATTATTCTAGTTGAAATTAATAGCATGTTCCAAAATGCTCCTAGCTCCAATAAATGAAGATAAATTGACAGAATGAATTGAATTACATCGTAGGAGTAGGAATAACTAACACAGAACAATTAGAAAGTTAGAAACCACAAGTGCTTTTATGTTCTCCCAATTTCCAGTGTAGTCACGAGCCCTGCTTTAAGCTGTTTGGGTGCAAACGGGTGTTTGAGAAAAAACTACCAGCGAGTCTTCATTACAAGGTAATGCTGTGCTTAGGAAGTGTACCATATATGTCATATAAGATTCAATTCAGTTAGCCTGTAAGGCGCAGGGCATCGCACGTTGCAACAGCTCGCAACTTGGCGAGTCTGTACACGAGAAGCCAGCCATAAACTACTTCCCTGCTCATGGAGTGAAAGATCCACCGTGCCTAGCACGTATCGCGCTTACCGTGCCAATGGTGCGCCCCCTCTGGATTATTCCTCTGAGCTCAGTAGACTCAGGCTCTTCGCCTCGCCGCCGAGCGCTCAGAATCCTTGCACGAGTAGTTGATTAGTAGGAGGATCCACAAATCTGTAGTTGATTGGAGTACCTGCGAATCAAACCTATCGATGCGGTGGCCGCTGCCGGCAGTGAGCTACCGGAGACGGCAGGGGGGAGGGGGTGCCACAGGAGCGCAGGGACGACCGCAATCCATCAGAAGTGGGGATATGGTCCACCGGAGCGGCAGCATCCGCCGGGCAGTGCGGCGGGGGCGGCGGAGGAAGGGGACGGGCCCGGCCGATTTTCTCTCTGGCCGGTCTGGGCCACGAACACGTTGGGCCGCGTTGTCTGGCCCTATCAAGTCCAGGTGGGCTTTCGCTTGACCTGATATCATGATCCAGCTTGTTTGCCTCAAAATAAAATAAAAATGCTTGTTTGCTCCACATCCTCGTACTAGATAGCCGTTGACTTGTTCTTGTCCATAAGTCTGATCTGGTATCATGTTATGTTAAGATTTGTCTTCAGTCAGACGTTGTAAAGTTTTGACTAAGTTTATAAGAAAAGTCATCAACATTCATAATACCAAATCAATATTGTTAGATGTATCACGTAATTAATCAACATTCATAATTTCTTTTCTAGACCATCTAGCAAATTTTACTTTTATGGACCATGTCAATTTTTTTATTTTGGATCATGTTTTTTTAAATTGAACCATAGAAAAGTTATTGTTTGAATCATGGCAAAGTTATTTTTTGGACCATGGAAAATTTTATAATTTATACCATATACCAAATTTATTTCTTGAACCATGACAGCTTTATTTTTTGAACCATATCAAATTTATACTTTTGGACCATGGAAAATTTATTGTTCAAACCATGGCAAAATTTATTGTTTAAACACATGGAAAATTTATATTTTAGACCATGATAATTTTTGGGACCATGGAAAATTTATTGTTTAAACCATGGCAAAATTTATTGTTTAAAACATGGAATTGTATTTTAGACTATGATTAATTTTGGGACCATGGCAAAAAAATTAAACAATGCCAAACTTATTGTTTGGACCGTGGCGAAATTTTTTTGTACACATTAAGGCAACTTTTAATTCATACAACATCACAAATTCTGTTTTCAATATTATTTTTTCAAAACATGGAATTTGTTGAACAAAGCATGGTAAATTCTTTTTGGTATATCATAGAAAATTACTAGACATCCCATGGAAAATTTATTTTCATTATAATTTTTCACCAGTTTTCTTTTCAATATTTCTTTTACCATCATCTTATACTTAATATTAACTTAGGCACAAAAATAATTGTTAAGTATTTTCTTCTATATGTCAAGTTCTGTCTTTTTTTTAGTTTAATAACTGCTCTGACTTGATGTATTATATTTTTTGGACAAGCATGGCATTTTTGTGTGCCTTACATTACACATGATTTATTTATTTTAAAAAATATGTGGTACTTTTATTCTGTAGGGCATGACAACTTTTTTTTTGCCGGGTAGCTATACATATTTGGTAAATAAACATATTTTTGTTTATTTTTTGCCATGTGACCTTTTACATGACAAAATTAGTTTGCCATGCATGGAAAAATTTACTTGCTTGTATCATTGCATTTTGTTTGTTTTTCTTCTTTGTTCCTGTCATTTATTTTGTGTGTAATCAGGCTGCAAGGCCTAGTAAAGCGGCCTGTCTGGGCTTGTTCGCTCCGGGGTGGTTCTCGTTGCGAATGAAATTGTTCACCCGATCGAACCCCAAGGGAACGATTCGTTCGCGAGGATTTCTCCCCTGGAGAACGATCGCTGGTTATTCGTGTCCATACCTGAAAGTCGTTTAGCAGGTACTCCCTTCATTCCAAAATATAGTACGCCCGCGCTTTCCGAGATTCAACTTTGACCATAAATTTAACTAACGAGACCGACTGCGGCGGAAGAAAAAATTATATAATTGAAAACTTCTTTTAAATACGAATTCACTGCTATAACTTTTATTCCCGCCGCAGTCTGTCTCGTTGGTTAAATTTATGACCAAAGTTGAAGCATGAAAATAAAAGAAAAACTATATTTTGAAACGGAGGAAGTAACTAAATTCTTGTCAAGCAGCGAACCACAATTCTGTCAACTGTGCAACCAAAAACACTCGCGATAACCTCAGGTTTGGCGCAGCAAAATGTACAAAAAGAATTACCAAAATTACTTTCCGCTGGGTAATACGGATATTCACAAAAAAGACAAGGTTTCTGCCACCCTCGTCAGCACGCAAACCATAGAGTTATGGTTGACGGCCAGTCAACGAGGCATCCATCTGCTTCCATGCAGCTGCCCACCGCTGTCAGCTTCAGCTTGACCCCAACCACCAGCTACATTTTGCAAAGTGGTCTTCACTTTTTTTTTTTTGAAACGAAGGTAAAAGATTTGCTTCATCTATTAATTAAAAGAGAATAGAGTTTGTTGTGTTACAGTAAGGCATTACAACACACCGTCAATACAAAAGTCATTACTCTCCTGGCATCATAGTACCCAAGTGTTTGGCACCTGACCCAAACCGCCGCCTCAACCTTGATATTGCTAAGCAGGACCATCGGCGGGGCGCTTTTTTGAAGGAAGACGCGTGCATTTCTTTCATTCCAAATTGTCCAAGAGATAAGCATGGTTAATGAAGCCATCGCCTTCCGGTTTGGAATGTTGTTGTCAGATTGACTCACCCACCAATAGTTGGTGGACTGGAAGAGATGCCAAGTGGAGGCGTCGAGATGTCCTAGCTGTAGCCATCCCTTTTATCATTTCCCACAATCTGACTGTGTATCACACTTGTAGAAGAGGTGGTCTTCACTCTTGACCGTTTCTGTCGCAACAAAGCATGGAGCGGATCATCAGGAAGGAAGAGAGTCATGCAACCCAACAAATTTCTAAAATACTCTATGTGAACACACACAAAAAAAAAAGCCAACTCTCTGATGGTGAAATTTACCAAACAGCCTGTTTTATTCATGTGAAAACACATATGTAATATTTGCTCAGATTTGGCACCGTGTGTGCATATTCCTTGCAGCCAAAATCATCAAACGCGTTAATTCTACGGATGTACAGATGCAATTCCTCCTTTTTGGAAGACGCACAAATATATAAGTGATTATAAAAAACAGAGTTGGTGATGATGGTGTGCCTGCCATCCTACAATATAGGCTGTCTGATTTATATCTGGCGGATAGGAAGGAAACTATGGCAATTTTGCAAAAAGATACCCACACCCCTCTCCACATTTACAAATAAGGCCTTCCCTCGTTCATCCTTTTGTCCCACAAGATAAACTATTCATACAAATGCATCTTGATGTTCTGTGCAACGCATGAGCATCTTGCTAGTATAAGTGATTTGTAAGCAGACAAGTTCCACAATCAAGTCTGGTCCTATCAAACAGTTCTCATGTCAGGCTGTTGTATGTTGACCGTTGAATTATTCAACACGCACATATTAGACAAGTACACTAATGTAGGCATCTCTTCCTCCGTTATCATCTCACCCAAGAGGAGTCCTGTTAGCAGACGGCACTAATGGCAGTTAGAGGTATCTCCCTGACTCTCCACCTGCTCTTCCTCCTCCGCCTCCTGCTCCTCCTGCCAGTCATCACCACCCAATCCCAAACCATACTCAACATCACCAACCGATGCCCCTACACCGTATGGCCGGCCGCTTTCCCGGTGGGCGGCGGCAGGCGGCTGCAGCCTGGCAAGACATGGACCCTCAAGGTGCCCTATGCCACCCGTGGAGGAAGCGTGTGGGCACGCACAGGCTGCTCGTTTGACGGCAAAGGCCACGGGTCATGCCAGACAGGCGACTGCCAAGGCTTGCTCACCTGCAAGGGAGATGGTCAACCACCCTACACGTCTGCTCAATTCTCGCTCAACCAGTACAACAACAACAGTTTCTTCGGCATCTCCCTCTACCAGGGCTTCAATGTACCCATGGAGTTCCTGCCAATGCCGGTCAAGGGACAAGGAGGACCAGGGTGCAGAAAGGGGCCCCACTGTGGGGCCAACATCACGTCACAGTGTCCGAGCGAGCTCAAGGCACCGGGAGGCTGCAACAGCGCATGTACAGTGTTCCAGGAGCAGAATAATTATATGTACTGCTGCGAGAGAAATTGTGAATCCAACAAATACTCGGCCTTCTTTGTGCGGATGTGCCCGGAGGCAATAAGCTACTCCAGTGATGCTGCCACAGATACTTCATTCAGCTGCCCATTTGATACCGACTACCAGGTCATCTTCTGCCCACCGGTCAATCTAACGTCTTCACCTCCAAGTCCTCCTAACTCAGCTGATCTTAGGCCACTACGCAAAGGACCCTCAATAGGCACTTCTGTTTCAGTTGCAATTGCAGGTGCCATAGGTTTAATAATCGTCACATTCATCTTTTTCATCATACGTCGAAGAGGAACACGACGACACCATGAGATGACAGATGAGGAGGCAGAGTTTGATCAGCTACAAGGAACACCAATGAGGTTTACGTTTCAACAGTTAGAAGCAGCAACAGAGCAATTCAAGGACAAGCTCGGGGAAGGAGGATTTGGGTCTGTTTTCGAAGGGCAGCTAGGCGAGGAAAGGATTGCGGTAAAACGTTTGGATCGAGCTGGTCAGGGAAAGAGAGAATTCTTGGCGGAGGTTCAGACAATCGGTAGCATTCATCATATCAATCTGGTGAGGCTGTTTGGCTTCTGTGCAGAGAAATCCCATAGGCTCTTGGTTTATGAGTATATGCCAAAAGGATCCTTGGACAGGTGGATCTATGGTCGACATGAAAATAGTGCTCCTCCGTTAGAATGGAGGGTGCGATGCAAGATTATCGCTGACATAGCTAAGGGCCTGTCTTATCTTCATGAGGATTGCATGAAGAGAATTGCTCATTTGGATGTCAAGCCACAAAATATCCTCTTAGATGATGACTTCAATGCTAAACTTTCCGATTTTGGACTATGCAAGCTCATTGATAGGGATATGAGTCAAGTGGTTACAAGAATGAGAGGCACACCTGGTTATCTAGCCCCTGAATGGTTGACGTCACAAATCACGGAGAAGGCCGATGTCTATAGCTTTGGCGTTGTGGTCATGGAAATCGTGAGCGGAAGAAAGAACCTCGACACTTCCCTGTCTGAAGAGAGCATCCATCTTATTACCCTATTGGAAGAAAAGGTGAAGAACAATCACTTGGAAGATTTGATTGACAAGAGCAGTAACGACATGCAAGCACACGAGCAAGATGTGATTCAGATGATGAAGCTCGCGATGTGGTGTTTGCAGATTGACTGCAAAGGAAGGCCTAAAATGTCCGAGGTGGTCAAAGTCTTGGAAGGTACCATGGATGCAGAGAGCAACATAGATCATAACTTTGTCACAACAAATGAACCAAATTTCGGTATTGCTGGAAATGTGAACTCTTCAGCTCCACCTGTAGCCTCAGATGTATCGGGTCCAAGGTGAAATGAGTCAATCCCGAGAAGACAGACAATTAGATTATGAGGTGCTAAATGAAATGAGTGAAAGACTTGTCTGTTGTATCTTTCCAAATTATTACAATCTGAAGCCGCTTATGTTGAGTTAATTTTACCTGCAAAATGTTTGAATATTACGAACCTTCTTGTTTTACAGCAGAAGAACTTATTTATTCTACAGTTTGTTCAGTTTCTGTCTGTAATGCAGTTCTGTTTCTTGTTGTTCTAGTTGAAATTAATAGCATGTTCCAAAATGTTCCTAGGCTCCTAGCTCCAATAAAGGCAGAGAAATGGACAGACTGAATTAAAATACATTTTAGGAGTAGGGAATAACTAAGAAAGAACAATTAGAACCACAAGTGCTTTAAAGTTGTCCCAATTTCCAGTGTAGCCACAAGTGCTCCTACGGCTTTGCTTCTCTTTCCTCTGTTTTTGATACTAGCTTTTAGGCTTGGCTAGCTTAGTTTTTTCCCTACTTCTTTTGTTGGCTGGTTTTGTTTTGTATACGCTGCGGGCATACTGGTGTTCTCATTCTAATACAAGCGACAGCCGTTTCGGCGTGTGTTGGAGAGAAAAATTCCAGTGTGTTTTTATTGCATGGATACTGCTGTGCATACACAGAAAGCATATTTGTACACGAGAAGCCAGCCATAAACTACTTTCCTGCTCATGGAATGAAAGATCCACCGTGCCTAGCACGTATCACGCTTGACCGGATCATCTATGCTACTGCTCTGACCATGTAATGCTGGTATTAGTTATGATTACCAGGGTGTATGGCACATCAGATTTCACAAACATTTTTGCAATTTGATAGTACTAGTCAGGAAGAAGTTGCTGCTTACCGTGCCAATGGTGTGATTTCACGGTGCGTTCGATTAGCCGCTCGTCCCCTCTGGATTATTGCTCTGATAGGCTCAAGCTCTTCGCCTCGCCGGCGAGCGCTCGGAATCCTTGCACGAGTAGCTGATTGGTAGGAGGATCCACAAATCTGTACTAGTTGATTGGAGTACCTGTGAATCAAACCTGTCGATGCGGTGGCAGCGGAGGCCGCTGCCGGAGACGGCAGGAGGGGGGAGGGGTGCTGGTACGGAAGAGTGGCGGCCTGCCACAGGAGCGCACGGACGACCGGAATCCATCAAAACTGGGGATATGGTCCACCGGAGCGGCAGCATTCGCCGGGCAGTGCGGCGGGGGCGGCGGAGGAAGGGGACGGGCCAGGCCGAGTTTCTCTCTGGTCGGTCTGGGCCACGAACACGTTGGAACTGACGCGTCAGTATGGGCCGTGTTGTCGGGCCATATCAAGTCCAGGTGGGCTTTCGCTTGACCTGATATCACGATCCAGTTTGTTTGCTCCTCAATCCTCATAATAGATAGATAGCCGCTCCTCCTGTTGTAGCCAAATCTGATCGCTTATACAGGATGTCTTCAGTCGAACGTTGTAAAATTTGAGCAAGTTTATAAGAAAAGTCATCAACATTCTCAATACTGTTAGATGTATCACGTAATTAATCAACATTCATAATTTCCTTTTTAGACCATTTGGCAAATTTTACTTTTATAGACCATGGGAAATTTTTATTTTGGATCATGGATTTAAATTTTTTTTTGAACCATGGCAAAGTTATTTTTTGGACCATGGAAAATTTATAATTTAGAACATGGCAAAAAACTGGACCATGCCAAATTTATTTCTTGAAGCATGGCAGCTTTATTTTTTGAACCGTGGCAAATTTATGCTTTGGACCATGGTAAATTTATTGTTCAAACCATGGCAAAATGTATTGTTTAAAACATGGCAAATTTATAATTTAGATCATGATAAATTATTTTTGGGATCATAGCAAAAAAGTAAACAGTGGCAAACTTATTTTTTGGACCATGGCAAAATAATAATAATTACACACTAAGGCAACTTGTAATGCATACAACATCATAAATTCTGTTTTCAAAATTATATTTTTCAAAACATGACAATTTATTGAACAAAGCATGGTAAATTCTTTTTGGTATATCATATAAAATTACTTGAACATCCTATGGCAAATTTATTTTCATTAGACTTTTTCACAAGTTTTCTTTTCAATATTTCTTTTGCCATCATCTTATTCTTATACTTAACAATGGCAACTTAGGTTCAAACATAATTGTTATGTTCTTTTCTTCTATATGTTAAGTTCTGGCTTTTTATTAGTTTCATGACTGCGTTGGCTTGCTGTAGTATATATTTTGTACAAGCATGGCATTTTTGTGTGCCTTACATTACACTTGATATATTTATTTCAAAAACATGTGGCACTTTTATCCTCTAGAGCATGGCAATTTTTTCCCCGTGTAGCTATACATATTTGGTAAATAAACATATTTTTGTTTATTATTGGCCATGTAACCTTTTACATGATCAAATTAGTTAGCCATGCATGGCAAAACTTGCTTGCTGGTATCATTGCATTTTGTTTGTTTTTCTTCTTTTTCCTGTTATTTATTTTTGTGTATAATCGGGCTGTGAGGTCTAGTAAAGGGGCTTGTCTCGGGGAAGAGGATTTGGAGCACCTGGGTGTTCCACCACCCTATATCAACATTAAGTTCAAAAAAATACTGAAATTTTTTGAACCCCCCTCTCCCCAGGGGATTTTGGAATATCAAAACCTAGGTGCCCAATGTACTTCCGTGTGAAATTTTGTAAAAAAAATACCAGAAAATATATCAGTGGCAAAAGAGATAAAAAAATCCTATGTATAGAAAAAAAATAGATGGATCGTAGGTCAGACTGTATTTTCTTCATCACGGATAAATTTCTTGGTATTTTTTCACAAAACTTCACATGGGAGTAGATTGGGCACTCGGGTTTGATATCCCAAGATTCCATGTTTATTGAATTTTCCTGGTATTTTTTGAATTTAAAATTCATACAGGGGGTGGAGCACCCGGGTGCTCCTGTATATGTCCCCCTGTCTGGGCTTATTCACTCCGGGTGGTTCTCGTGGCGAACGAAACTGTTCGCTCGATCGAACCCCCGAGGAGAACGATTCGTTCGCGAGGATTCCCTCCCCTGGAGAACGATCGCTTGTTATTCATGTCCATGCCTAAAAGCCATTTAGATAACTAAATTCAAAGTAAGCTATTGGCGATGCTCTAAGGTCAACAAGCAGCGAACCACAATTCTTTCAACTGCACACAAAATGCACTCACGACAAGTCAAAGCCTTCAGATTTGGCACTGCAAAATGTACAAAAGAATTGCCAAAATTACTTTCCTTTGGATAATACAGATGTCAGCACGCAAACCAGAGAGTTATGTGGTGAGTGAGACATCCATCTGCTTCCATGCAGCTGCCGACCGCAGAGTTTCTAAAATAAGAAATGACATGCCTGCAGTGTGTTTTATTCATGTGAAAACACACACAAAAATAAGGCATACTCTGTGATGGTGAAATTAACCAAACATTGTGTTTTTATTCATGTGAAAATACATATGTAATATTTGCTCAGACCTGGCACCGTGTCTGCATATTTCCTTGCAGCAAAAATCATCAAACGCATTAATTATACAGATATGCAGATGCAGTTCCCCTTTTCCAGACATAATCTGCAAGCAAACAAGTTCCACAAGCAAGCCTGGTCCATGCCAGACAGTTCTCATGTAAGGCTGTTGTATGTTGACCGTTGAATTATTGAAATCTGAGCAAGCATGGCAATAATTTACCGTTGAATTATTCGACACACTGTATGTTCACCGTTGAACTCTTCCACACTCTGTTAGCTGTCACAGGAGCCCTACTGCAACTTTGCAACTCAGAGTGACTCTGATTCAGGTTAACGGGTGCAAGCAAGTATCATAACGCACGCACATGGCAGTGATGGCCGTCTCTTCAGCTCACCGCTGTCAGCTTCAGCTTGACCCCAACCCAACCACCAGGTGCTTCTTGCAAAGTGATCTTCACTCTTGACCTTTACTGTGGCAACAAAGCATGGAGCTGGAGCGGATCAGCAAGGAAGAAAGACGTGCAACACAGAAAGTTTCTAAAATAAGAAATGACATGCCGCAGTGTGTTTTATCCATGTGAAAACACAAAAAGAAAATCCTACTCTGTGACGGTGAAACTTACCAAACTGTGTGTTTTATTCATGTGAAAACACCTACGTAACACTCCCTCTGTAATCTTTTATAAGACGTTGTAACAGCCCGTGCACGGTGTTCAAGCAGGATAGGTTCTGCTGTACCGGGAGTGTGGCAAGCAACTGCAGCACCACGGACTACTCCGACTTCTTCAAGAAGATGTGCCCAGATGCCTACAGCTACCCCATGGATGATGCCACCAGCACTTTCAGTTGCCCGGCCGGCACCAACTACAAGGTAGTCTTTTGTCCCCTGACCAATCAAGCAATACCGCCGAGTCCTCTGCCTGCACCCCCGGCTGTGGTAACACCTAGTGGGCCAACGACCATGAAACCAAAATCCTCCACTGTAAGAACAGTAGTTGCAATTTTAGCTCCTATAGGCGGCTTCATCTTTCTGTTCCTCGTCACTTTCTATTTTTGTAAACGAAGAACCCAACAACGGCGTGAGATGGAGGAAGAGGAAGAGGAAGAATTTGGGGAGCTACAAGGAACACCAATGAGGTTCACATTTGAACAGCTAAAGGCAGCAACCGAGCAATTCGCAGACAAGCTCGGGGAAGGAGGATTTGGGTCTGTTTTCAAGGGGCAATTTGGTGATGAAAGGATTGCAGTAAAACGTCTGGATCGATCTGGTCAGGGCAAAAGAGAATTTTCAGCAGAGGTTCAGACAATTGGCAGCATTCATCATATTAATCTGGTGAGATTGATTGGTTTCTGTGCAGAAAAATCCCATAGGCTCTTGGTATATGAGTACATGCCCAAAGGATCCTTGGACAGATGGATCTATTGTCGACATGACAAGGTTGCTTCTCCTCTGGATTGGAGCACGCGGTGCAAGATAATAACTCACATAGCTAAGGGCCTCTCT